TGTCTTTGCTTTAAATATACGGTTGAACTGAGTAATACTTTCTTTTTCTCTTTTTCATAAAACTTACCATGGTGTGCCAACAATGTTTAATTGGTTGGAAAACACCAGATGAGAGGGGTTAGGTTATTATCATTGACACATTATAAATGGGAGCAGTTAATTTCATCTTGTGCATCCAGATTTGTGGTTATTTTAAAGTTTGTTTGTTTGTTTGTTTTTTTAACTAAGATTACACTCTACCTTCTGACATGGGGCTTGAACTCATGACCCCAAGATCAAGAGTGAGTCATTTGCTTGAACTCATGACCCCAAGATCAAGAGTCGCATGTTCTACTGACTGAGTCAGCCAGCACCCCAGACCTGTGGTTATTTTAGAACAAAAGTCTCCCCTCTCCCCAGATAGATGATTGGTTCCTTAGATCTGGTGCTATGCCACTTAGTTTTCTATACAGCTTTACACTTTGCAACTGAAAGGCTCAATGCCTCCTATGGGGCATGTGGGGCCTACATACATACATTAAGATAGTATTTAAAATTAGGGCTTAAAACAGCCAGATAGCCTCGTGAGAGAAAACAGTTTCAAGAGGGCCTGATGACTTAAGCTGATCTTACTGTCACTATGCCTTCTTTACCACAGTTAAGGATTAGCACCCCCAGTCATGAAAGGACAGAGTGCTGAGGCACACTAAGGAGACTAAATATTGGCTGTGAGGACAGCACAGGAAGGATACGACTTTTCTTTCCCTGGCCACTCCCCTCTGCTTTGTGGGGGAAGCAGAGGGTCACTTTTTTCATTGGTTTTGTTTTGTCCTTGCTTTTTGACACTGACAACAACTTTTAAAAAAATTTTTAAACGTTTGTATGTATGTATGTAATCTCTGTACCCAGCGTGGGACTCCAACTCATGACCCTAACATCAAGAGTTGCATGCTCTTCCAGCTGAGCCAGCCAGGCACCCCAGCAACTTCTTTTAATAGGTCAGTAATTTTTATTCAGATATTGCAATTATGACCCCTAGTCGCACACTGAAAAATATCCTGAGTCAATGTACTTACACACCATCTAATGGCTCTGAAAATATTTAATTTCATTATGTTCATGAATAAAACTTTGGAACTGATTCTAAGGAGGCTCAAATTCTACATATTTACTGGCCACTTAAACTGCTAAATTAGTGATATTGAGCAATATGGACTTCCTCTCAAAATACATTCACGTATAAATATAGTAAATTAAATTTACTTAATTTTAAATTCTCAGATGAGAAACAAAGTAATCCAAGAAAGGACAATTTACTCAGAGGCCTAAAATCATCATTTATGTTCTAAAGGTAAACAAATATATGAGTAAAAATATATGGATATTTGAAAATACCTGGAAGATTGAAATGTTCAGTTTTCAATTAAGATCTTTGCCATTGTACGTAGTGAACTTTAAGCGGCAGCTTGTTCTCTCAGTAAGGAACTCATATTTACTGAGCTCATTAGACTGATGTGTAAAATCCAAACTCCAATATACTGATCTATGATAAGAAACACTGGGGCACCTGGCTGGCTCAGTCGGTACAGTGGGCAACTCTTGATCTCAGAGCTGAGTTTGAGCCCCATGTTGGGTGTGGAGATTGCTTAAAAATAAAATCTTAAAAAAAGAAAAGAAACATATTGTTGCTCAGACCTTAGTCCTTTTATTAGCATAATAATGACCACATTTTCTCCTATTAGGTGGATTTTTTTTTTTTTTTAAGTAGGCTTCATGCCCAGCATGGAGCCTAACCTGAGGCTTGAACTCACAACCCTGAGATCAAGACTTGAGCTGAGATCAAGAGTCAGATGCTTCACACTGAACTGCCCAGGTACTGCAAGTGGACTGTATTTCTAATCATCTTTGGGCCATAAAACCAGTCTCAATAAATTTAAAAGGAATCAACTCACACAAAGTGTTTTCTCTGACCAAAATAGAATTAAATAATGGAAAGATCTCTGGGAAGTCCTCCAAATACTTAGAAACTAAATATACTCTATATAACTTTTGGGTCAAAAAAAGAGAAAAAGGGAATTAGAAAATATTCTGAACTGAATGAAAATAACAACAACCTATCAACATTTGTGGGTATTAATGGGAAATTTATAGCACTAAACACCTGTATTAGAAAAGAAGAAAGGTCTTAAGTCTATGACTTTAACTTCCACCTTCAGAAACAAGAAATAGAAGAACAAATTAAAGCCAAAGTATACAGAAGAAAGGAAAAAATAAAGATAAGAGCAGAGATCAATGAAATAGAAAACAAAAATAATAGAGAAAATCATGAAACCAAAGGCTGGTTCTTTGAGAGAAGAATGAAACTGATAAACCTCTAACCAGATTCATTGTGGGGAAAAAGAGAGAGAGCAATGGCACAAATTGCCAATGTCAGGAATGAGAGAGAAAAATATCATTATAGAACTTATAGACATTAAAAGCATCATAAGATAATATTATAAACAACTTTTTTGCCAATAATTTTGACAACATGGATAAAATGCACATGTTTCTTTAAAGACACAAAGTACCAACGTCATTCAAAAGAAGATATGTAACTTAGCTTTATACCTACTAAAGAAATTGATTTGTTGTTGAAAACCCTTCCACAAAGAAAATGCTAGGTCCAGATGGTTTTACTGAGAAACCTACCAGATATTTAAGGAGAAATAATACCAATTCTACACAAAGTTTTCCAGAAAATGAAGGAAGAGGGATGTTTTCCAACATATTCTGTGAAGTCAGCATCACCCTGATACCAAAACCATCAAGAATATCACAAGAAAACTACAGACCAATAACCCTCATGAACATGATGTAAAATTATTAACAAAATATTAGCAAATTGAATCCAATAATATATAAAATGGATAATGCATTATGACCAAGTGGGGTTTATACCAGGAACATAAGTTTTAACGTCAGAAAGTTTAATGCTGCATCATGCTTAATAGTGTAAGATTGAAAAAAAAAAATGGTGTAAGTTTGAATGGTTTCCCCCTGAGATCAAGAACAAGGCAAGAATGCCCACTCTAGTCCCACCTATTGAACACTGTGTTGGAGGTCCTAGACAGTTCTCTGTAAGGCAGTAAATAAATAAGTAAATAAATAAGTTGAGGCCAAACTCAACCTATTAGGTTGTTGACTGTCATTTCTCACTAATGTCAAAATGTTTGTCTCTAGTAGATACTGCTCCCCGACTTCTAGTTTTCTCCTATTTTGCTGTGAGCTTGGAAACCATGTGGTCAAGCTTATTTTATTGTGTAACACTGGAATATATAAAGTATAACTTGCCTAAGTTTAATACACAGCAATGGTGACATTTATGTTGGCTTGCTCAGAGGCCTTTTTTTGCTTTTATGACTATGGATAAATTACTTAACCTCTCTGGGGGAAATAATAGGACCTATTTCAAGGGTTGTTATAAGGATTAGAAGTGGTCAAGATTAATTTAAGGTAGATTTAGTATAATTCATTTATCTCTTTCTTAATCAATTTTTAAATTTAGAAAATCAAAGTAACAAATCAATATGCTATTCTTCATTACCTATTCTTCATTTGTTATATTGCAATGTCATGCATGGCCAAATTATAAGCTATTTATAAAGCAAGGAATATGATACAAATCCTGATATTTCTTTGATCAAATGTAACTATTTACCTGTTTCAGACTCTGAGGTTCCGCTTTTGACAATAAATAAATCTCAAGTATAAAAATCAGAAATAGCACCATTATTTCATTAGACATTATGATAAAACTTTTCCCATGATTTAATGAAATAGAAAGGTATAGATTGTAAAAATTAATTGTAATTGCACATAATATATAATTTTTTTTGCTAATGGGAAGTAGATAACATTAAATAAAATTAAATAAGATAAACTAAAAATACAAATCATTAATAGTAGAGTAAATATTTTATATGATTTGATAAAAATCATTAGTAACTATCTTATTGAATTATGTACCAAATTTGAAAGAGATCATGTAAAAACTTGGTTTTAGCTAGTGGGTCATGAAGAATCTGGTTATTCTAAAAAATATTTTAGCTACATCTGAAAAAATCAACTAAATTAATGAATTAATTAAAAATTTAATAAATAAAAATTTAAAAATCAAATAATCAACTGCTTTGTCCATTCCAACATATTTCTTTCCTGCTAATGATTTTGGAATGAGTATTGAGAATAGATGAAAAGAATTAGATTTAAGAATGTGAAAAAACTGTTTAGAATTTTTTAAAAAACGCCCTCTGTGCTTTACTTCCTCAAGGTAAATGCTTTCTTTGATAATTCCTAGGGGATGGAAGAAACCTTATCCCCACTACCCCACTGTACCATATATTTTCTTTTAGACCATAACAACATGAGCCAAAATACCCCATTTCTAAAGCCAAGTTTCACTCTTCACAGAAGTATGTAAAAGATAAGGAAAGACTGGTTCCTTGTTAATCAGTGAAGGAGACTTCCCCTTTGTTTGATTCCCTGATGGATATTATTCACCTGGTTGTGCCATAAAATATGATTTGGGATGAATAATGGCTACGTCTTTGTTTTTTAAAAGTTGGGAGTAGGGCTATTATGAACACAGGTACCTTCCCAAGCGGGTTAGTTTTAGGAAAGAAGACACATAGACGTTGCCGACTGGAAAACTGATTTCCTCAAAGCTATCCATGCTTGAGCACATCTGGGAAAGCATTCTGTATTCCTAGTGGTATGAGAACCCCCAGTTTGAAGGCCACTAGGGTAGACTCAAAAATGGCTTCATGTGCCTTCAGAAAACATTGCCATCTAGTGGCAACTACTTCAAGTCGTAGACACAAGGACCTAAAGGTTCCCTTGACCCTTTGAAAGACACCTCTGATTCAACCCTGAGTAGCAAAATACCTTGCATTTATATCATACATTATACTTTATATTGTGCTTTCTACGTATATTGCTATTTAACATTCCAAGGAAGCCCATCCTTTTTAGATGAGACAGTTGAGGATCAGAGAGGGGAACTTATCAAATCATACTTTCATTTATTCATTCAAGATCCATTTGTCAAGCACTATTACATGACTAGCATTATCCCAGGCTTGGAGTAGGGGGATGGGTTACGGGTGATTCAAAGCTAAGACACAACGTCCTTAAATCATTCACAATCCATGGGACGTAGAATTATGAATGTTGAAGTCAAGATTTGTGTCCAGGACTAATGTGTATCAGTGTTCTTACCACTACATCATGGCACAGTAAATGTACATGTCATGAGGGTGTTCAGATGAATCCTGGAGTCCTTTGGTACAGGATGAGGTCAGTCACGGGGAAAGGTGGTTTCCAAGCAAAATGACTCACTGAATTAAAATGTCAACTGAGCAGAGTGCCTGCCCTTCCCTACCCTTGTAATCTGCTGTGGGCTTGGAAATCAGATAAGGAAATTTATTAAAAGGGTATTTAACAGGAAAGTAAAGAACCTGAGTGCAAATCCCAGAAGCTCCCCAAGGAGTGTTGTGTATGAACTTTAGAGCATGGTTTTTATTACGTCTGTTTCTGGCCATTCTTGGGACTTTCTTAAGCTGTCCTCTCTCTGAGGTAAGGCCAGGCAGCCGTGTTGGCCAGTGAATTCTGAGTGGGCAGTGTTACAGTAGAAGAGATAATTGTGCCATAATGAGCAGAGTGAGTTAAGAAAAACCCACGTTCCTTATCACGGCATGCCTGCCTCCCAGGTCTCGTGTTTAGGATCTCTCCCCTAGCTTAGTGCACTGTAGAAATTGGCCTTCTTTCTGTCTTTTGAGCACTCCAAGTTCTTGTCTCACTCAGGCCTTTGTAACATTTCTCTCTCCCTCTCGCTCACTCTTCACAAGGCTGGTTCCTCATCTTTCAGGTTTTAGCTTAAATATCACCTCCCGAAGCTCTTCAATGATCACTCTACATCTACTATAATAACTAATACTCACCTTATCCATGCTCTTTACCAACACCCATTTTGTGTCCTAAAAATGTCCTACATATACCTTTTTATGCTAACTGAAGCTTTAGCATTTACCACCTCCTAATATATACATATTTTGTCTGTTATCTTTATTGTCTATCTCCCCCCCACTAGAATGTAAGCTTTGTGAGGGCAAGTGTTTTGTCTGCTTGGCTCATTTCTGTAGGCTTACCAGCTAGAACAAGACTTGGCCATGATGGGCACTCAATAAATATCTGTGAATGAACTGAACGAAAACTTTTCCTCTTTGTCTCATATAGCTATTCTCAATAAACCCAGCCAGACTGGCCTGGTTTTCTTAAATACATGCTGACAATTTTACTTGGCAGCTCACGAAGCAGGACTGCTGTGTGCCTTTGTTCCAGGAAATGGACTTCAAGTCACCTTCCCAGGGCGCAAGCTTCTGTGGGACAGGAAATCAGGCATTAGTTAGGTGTATGAAATTGCGGTTCTTAGGTCTACACTGCTACTTCCTTTGTTAACTCTCTTGGGCAGGATACTGGGTAATGAGGTCAGGGTCTTGTTCAACTATCAGGTTAGCTTTTCTCCATTCCTAACCACAAACTGCACCCTGTGATAAGCTGGTTTTCTGGCCTATGTGCAGCGGATTTCACCACAGGAGGGCTGGCCTGGAGAGAGTAGAGGTTCTTACACTCATCCCATTCCTGGAAAAACAATGCCAAGTTCATCCCGTGCTGGTATGAATGAAGTCAAATGTGGGGATGTCTTGTGAAGAACTGAAAAATGCACTGCTAAGTCACCAACTTCCAGTGAGGGCTAGGAAGAAGCAAGGTCCCTCAGCCCAGCGATCTCAGGAGGCATTCACGAAGGTCTAGTTTGTCTACAGCGCTACCCTGAAGGTAGCAGTGAAGAATCCCTATGCTGCCCTCTTGGAGGGAAGCAGGTGGGGCTGAGCACTTCGGTAAGCACAGATCACTAGCACTCTATCCTGCTCCCTGAGCAGCCACTCTGCCTGTCTCCCTGGTCTCCACTGCCTCACTTTCTGTTCACTACTTCTGGACTTACTGACTTTCCAACTTCAACACATGCCCTGTCTTCTCTTACCACAGGCCACCTCAAGCAGGACTCTCAGTTCCTTGAATGTGACAAAGTATTTCCCACTGCCAGACCTTTGAACATGCTGTTCTATCTCTACTCCCGTAAAAAAGACACTCAGTTAAAAACACTCGGTTTAGGGAGAATGCTTCTGTTGTTTTCCAAGTAAGCACAAAGTTGGCTTTTGGTTGTCTGTAAATCTCTTGAATCTATCTACTTCTATTTTCATGGCTGTCACCTAAGTTCAAACCGCTACAATTTTTCACCGGCAATAACCCCCAATTTTCATTTTCTTTTTTAAGATTTTATTTATTTAGCTCAGGTCATGATCCCAGGGTCCTGAATCGAGCCCCGCATCGGGCTCCCTGCTCGACAGGGGGCCCGTTTCTCCTTCTCCCTCTGCTGCTCCCACTGCTTGTGCTCTCCTGCTCTCTCTCTGCCAAATAAATAAATAAAATCTTAAAAAAATACATTTCATTTATTTATTTGACAGACAGAGACACAGTGAGAGAAGGAATACAAGCAGGGGGAGTGGGAGAGGGAGAAGCAGGCTTCCCACTGAGCAGGAAGCCTGATGCGGGGCTCGATCCCATGATCCTGGGACCATGACCTGAGCCGAAGGCAGACGCTTAACGACTGAGCCACCCAGGTGCCCCACCCAATTTTCATTTTCATTCTTGCCCCTACCAGTTCATTTTCCACACAACAGGTACAGTGGCCTCATAAAAATGGAAATCTGACCATGTCGTTTCTCTCTTAAAACACTCCAGTGGCTTCCCATCCTTTTTAGGATGAAGTCTAAAATCCTTAACCTGATCCACGAGGCTCTGAATGATTTGACCTCCGCATGCATTTCCAGCTCCATCGTGTACCTTTTCGTCCTCACCACAGTCCAACTCATGCAAGCCTTTCAGTTTCCTGAATGTGGTATTTTCCACCTCCAGACTTTGCACATGCTATTCTGTCTCTACTCCTTTGCATCATCCTACTTACCCTTCGCATTTCAAGCTTCTCTCTGACTTTTTCAGGAAAGCCTTCCCCAACCCTTCTGACTAGGTGTCATATATTCTCAGTGCCCTCTCCTTTTCTTTTATAGTGCTTTTCAGTACTACATGCTTGCATATAACCAGTACATGTAATTATTTACATAATTTTTATTGTTTTTCCTGCTGGATTGAGAACTATACTAGTGCCTGATACATTGCCAATTCTCAATAACTATTTGTTTAAAAAATGAGTGAATATGAATCATTCATAATATATTGAAGATACAAGGACTGCATCTCTATGTTCTTTTTTTTTTTTAAGTTTTTAATTTTTTTGAGAGAGAGCATGATTGGGGAGGAGGGGCAAGGGGGAGAAGGCGAGAGAGAATCTTAAGCAGGTTCCACACCAAGCAGAGCCTGATGTGGGGCTCAATCTCACAACCCTGAGATTGTGACCTGAGCCAAAATCAAGAGTCCAACGCTCAACTGACAGAGCCACCCAAGCACCCCTCTATGTTCTTATATAAAAAATATCTCGGTTCTGGGACTGCACAGTCATGAGTGACTGGTGTCTTCGCAGAGGAGTATCAAAACAAATAGATTAGAAAATGGGTACATATTGTTATATCAGACAGTAAAGAAATTATCAAAGACTGCTGAGGTCATTTCAAAAGGACTTTAGAGCCAATTTGAAGATGCTCCAAATGGCCAATGATGGAACAGTTTGTATAAGAAAAATAACTACAGTAGATTGAAACACATCAAATATGCTTACCTCTGATACGGATACTAAGAGAATAAAAAGTTAATCTTTGGGAGGATAGTAAAAAGTTGACTTATTCTTTTGAAAATCTGGTTGTTGAATGTCTAAATCTGGACAGTTTGAGGCTTGAAGGAGCACTCATGCCTCCTGTGCTGTGGGGAGCCAGGAGCAGAGCACACTTTGGAAGCCCAGGGCCGTTAGTCCTGGTTACATCCAGATGATCCAGATTGACAGGAGCAGGATAAAATTACAACAAATATTCCATTTTAATACTGCCTGTGCTACTTGTATTTCTTTTTTTTTTTTTTTAAGATTTTATTTATTTATTTGTCAGAGAGAGAGAGAGAGAGAGCACAAGCAGGGGGGAGTGGCAGGCAAAGGGAGAAGCAAGCTCCCTGCTGAGAAAGGAGCCTGATGCGGGACACTTTCCCAGGACCCTGGGATCATGACCAGAGCTGAAGGCAGACGCTTAACTGACTGAGCCACCCAGGCGCCCCACTACTTGGATTTCTAAGAAAAAATGTGGATACAGGGCAATCCTTTTCAAACCCAAGCCCTTCAAAGTTTTGGCTCCAGTTTCAGCCATCTCACTATAATGAGCAGCAGAATTCATGAGAGTAAATTAGATTTTTATTGAATGGAAGTAAAGAACACAACTACTCAGTGTAGACCACTACTGTTCACTAGAACTCTCTGTGATGATGGAAATATTCGGCACGTTGAATGTGATTGCTAGTAGCCACATATGGATACTGAGCACTTGGTATGTGAATAGTGTAATTGAGGAAATGAATTTTTTATTTTATTTCATTTAAATGAAATAGCCTCCTGTGGCTAGTGGCGACTGTATTGGACAGCACAGTGTGACTCTATGTAATATCTATAGTAATTGCCTCCTTAATGTTTTCTACTGTTAATCACAAAGAATGCTTTATGCTCTCTAGCCAAACAGGTCAGTCAACATTAATTTTAGTAAACGTTCTTCTCCTAGTTCTATTCCCACTCCTTTATTTAAAAAGAACAATAACAAAAACTGTGAGGATTTTGATTAATCACCTTCTCCACACATCCTCCGGGAGACAAATAGATGTATGCAATATTGCCAAGAGGGATTATCTAATCCACACCTTCCTTTAAAAAAAAAAAAAAAAAGATTTATTTATTTATTTGAGAGAGAGAGCGCGCGCATGGGTAGGGGGAGGGGCAGAGGGAGAGAATCTTCAAGCAGACTCCCCACCTAGCACGGAGCCTGACATGGGCCAATCCCACGACCCATAAGATCATGACCTGAGCTGTAACCGAGAGTTGGATATCCAACTGACTGAGCCACCAGGCACCTCTCCACACCTTCCTTTTCGCATAGTTTATTCATTTAACAAATAATTAATAAGTACCTACCCTGTGCCAAGCACTGTACCTATTGGTGCTATGAATATACTGATTATAGTAGATGTCACAGTGTGCTGCCCAGATATCCTCTTTCAGGACCAAGGCACTCCCTCTTCCAGCAGCTGGGGGTATTGGCTGCCATCAGTTCTCAGCTGAATCCTTCTCCAGGGGTTGCCTGAGACCCAGGAAACTGCTTCACCCAAGTTTAAGGTCCCTTCCTATGGACAGTGCACATCTAGTCTATAATGGGGATATAAAGTAGGTCAACTTGGTGAAATTTGTGACAATTCTGAAAGATCATCCTCAGTCTAGGGCTCCCCATGACTATCTGAAGCCTTTGTTGCAACCATATCACAGTTCGGCTTCTTCTATCCAACCCAAGCCCCAGAGGTTGTTACCAAGTGCAAATCTCCATTTTGGACAGACTTGGTTCCTGCCCTCATGGAGATGACACCATTTTGAGACAAACTGAAATCCAGAGAAGTTTAAGAACTAGTCCAAGGACACAGCTGAATCATGTTAGAACTAGGAGAATCCATTTTCCCGGCATTCAGTGTAGTGCTCTTTCTGCTGTTCTATGTGGCCTTATAGTAAAACACACTGCATCAGAAAATCACAAACTGCTATTGGGAGTAGTACTAAGAGAATAAGATATTTTTCTAAAAGATTAAATTGAACAATAGGCAAATTAATTTCCATTGAGAGCAGCACCTCTCTCCTTTTAGGGAAATGCTTCCCTCTTCTTCTAGACACAGGATCCTAACACAGAATTGACTGTCTTCTTCTTCCTCTTCTCCTTCTTCTTCCCCTCCTCCCCCTCCTCCACTTCCTCCTCCTCCTTCTTTTTTTTCTTTTTAGAGAGAGAGAAAACTTGAATGCGTTTGGGGGGAGGGGCAGAGGGTGACGGAGAGAGAGAGAATCTCAAGCAGATTCCGTGCTGAGCGTGGAGCCTGACATGGGGCTTGATCTCATAACTCTGATCATCATGACCTGAGCTGAAATCAAGAGTCAGATGCTCAATGGACTGAGCCATCCAGGTGCCCCAGAAGTGACTGTCTTCTTAAATGACCCAGATTCCTTGACCATATGGTACACTGATAGGTGGGTACCAATCATGATAACCTGGCCATTATTGGCCCAGGGATGGGCACATGACTGAAGCCAGGCCAATCACAACCCATTCCCAGAATTGTTCTTAAACTCAAGTTCTTAAATTGCTCTTAAACTCATCCTAGTTGGAAGATACAAGAATATGAGTTTACAGTGATCTAAACATATTGTGGGAAGATGAGGATCTCATCTTGGGAAGAAGCTAGATTGAGAGAAAAAAGGCTTCCCTGCAGAGAGAAGTGGAAAGAGAGGGATATAAAGTCCTGATGACAATTTGTGTTCCTCTTTCAAGACATCCCTGAAGCCAGTGCCACCCCTGTTCTACCTAAGGCTTGGTTATTTGAGCCAATGAATTTTCTCCTGTCTGCATAGGCCAATTCATGATGGGCTTCTATCCTGTTGTACTACTACCCCAGCAAATTGACTCCACTTTTCCATTTTACCTTGCCATCTGTGTTTCACATACCCATTTTTATACAGTTTGCATTCCTTAGCATATAATTTTACCATTACTTCATTCATATTTTTCCACCATTTACATAAGGGCCACAAGTTAATATACCACAATCTAATAGCTTCCCAACTGCAGAATATTTAGATTGTTTGCTTTTTTCCTCCTTACTATTACACTTAACATTACAATGACCAACTTGGTGTATGTAGTTTTACTTTCTTTTTTTTTTTAAGATTTTATTTATTTGACAGAGAGAGACACAGCGAGAGAGTGAACACAAGCAGGGGTAGTGGGAGAGGGAGAAGCAGGCTTCCCACGGAGCAGGGAGCCTGATGCGGGGCTGGATCCTAGGACCCTGGGATCATGACCTGAGCCGAAGGCAGACGCTTAACGACTGAGCCACGCAGGCGCCCCTGTAGTTTTACTTTTCTGTTGAATTAATTCTCAAGTGAAATTCCCAGGAATGGGATTGCTGAATCAAAGGGTATGAGCACTTTCATGGTTTTTGACAAAAAAGTGAATATTTTTTACATTTCAGAAAAAGTTTGCTTAGATGTCAAGTTTAAAAGAAAATGTCAGTCTTTAATGGTGAGAGTCTTGAGTCACTCTTTCATGCTTAAATTTCTGTCACTTGGCTCTCCTTTCAGGGCCAATTGTTGTTTGTTGCTCATCTAGAACATTTGCGGGTGGGAAGAAGAGCCTGAGGCCACAGTAGCTGGCTGTGCTGGGGTTTTGCTCTGCCCCAGTGGAGCTCCAGGGTGTGGTGTAGGGTTCTCACAGAAGGAAGGGAGGGCTGTGGAAGAGACCAGAAACATCAAGAGGGGTTTTCAAAATACCAAGTTCTCTTTACCCACAGCCAGATTCAGAATCTCATTGGGAGCAACCCTCCACAAGGTAGTAAGTCCCTAATAAATTCTCCTATTATATCTTCCAATACTACTTTGATTTTTCTTTCGTAGCACTTATTATTATTGCAAATTATTAATTATGCAATTCATTGTCCCATTTCTGGGAATTTAACTTAAGAATTAATTCAGCAGAAGTGCGCCTGAGTGTCCAACTCGATTTTAGGCTCAGGTCATGATCTCAGGGTCATGGGACTGAGCCCCACATTGGACTCAGTGATCAGTGGGGAGTCTGCTTGAGATTCTCTATGTCCCTCTCCTGCCCCTCCCCCCTCAAATATTTAAAAAAATAATAATTCAGCACACAAAAAAGCTACCTACCTCATATTGTCTATGAGCTTCATGAAAGCAGAGATTTGTGTCCTTTGCTTCTGTATCCTAAGCACCTAAAACAGTGCCTGACACATAGTAGGCACTGAAGAAATATTTCTGAATGAATAAATCAAATTAGCATAATAAAAGAAACTAAGTTAACTCTATTTCTTAAATTTACTTGATCATGGAACCATTTTTTCAAATCTAAATTAACACTCTAAGTGACACACTTGGGAAATGCCAAGTCCATGTCTTAGGGGAAGAGATACTAAGAGGAGGTGAGGATAAGTAGCCTTGTGTGTTTCACAGGAATTCTGTACCCCTCAGAACTTGCCAGTGAAGTGTTGCATCCACAGAGAGGAACCTCAGTGATATGGCTGACTTGAAGGGAATTTTGATGAAGTTGATTAACACAGCATTTTGATAATCAGGTAGAAATGTAATAGTCCCAGTTCATGTTCTCTTGAAAGTTTATAATTTGTGGTTTATTGGACAGTTTTACTGGCCAGTCCCATCAAACTGTTTTATTTTTATTTATTTATTTTTTAAGATTTTATTTATTTATTTGACAGAGAGAGAGAGAAGAGCAGAGGGAGAGGGAGAAACAGGCTCTCCGCAGAGCAGAGAGCCCGATGCGGAACTCAATCCCAGGACCCTGGGATCATGACCTGAGCCGAAGGCAGACGCTTAACTGACTGAGCCACCCAGGCGCCCCCCCATCAAACCATTTTAGAAGGCATCTCTAAGATGCTTTTTTTTTTTTAAAAGGTTTTATTTATTTATTTGAGAGAGAGAGAGAAAGCAGGAGCAGAGGGAGGGGGAGGGGTAAAAGGAGAGGGAGAAGCCGACTCCTCGCTGGGGGGCGGGGGGGGGGCTGCTCAGGGCTCCATCCTAGGACCCAGGGATCACGACCTGAGCTGAAGGCAAATGCTTAACCAACTGAGCCACCCAGGCGCCCCTCTAAGATGTTTCTTAAGGCAGTTTATCTGTGAGTATTTTCCCAGTGCTGACATATATTGAAATGAGTCTTCTGCATATTTTAAAACATTAACATATCCAAATAAAAAGATTAATTAATTCACAGAGACTTTCTCTGACTGTATAAGTGAGAAATTATTCTGGCGTTTACTCACTGTGAGTATAAAGAGCTCTAGATTAGGAATCTAGATTAGCTGAGACACCTGCTTCTAATTCCAGCTCTGCTCCTAAGCAAACTGCTTCATCTTTAGGAGCCGTTCTGAGCCCTAGAAACCCTTTCTATAAAGGAAGAGGATTGAATTAAAAGACTGTAATATTCCTTCCAGCTCAGATATCCAATGGTGCTTATCCAAAAGTACATTTAATTTCTTGAAATGACATAAGTAACTGTGAACATGAATTCCCAGTTAATACACTCATTGCTGTGGCTAGTACAGTCTCTGGGACCATTCTAGGGAAGTGGATGCTAAAACAAAGTTCAAATTTCTCAACTTAAATCATGATTGCTCTTCGACTGAGTAATTCAAAAGACTCAAAGAACAGGTTTGAGTAGGTCCACTTATATTTAATACCAGCTGAGAAGAAAAGTGAAATGTGATGAAAGATACACTGAAATTAACCTGAAGCAGACCCTTTGCTATTTGCAGGTCTATAGTGGGACCACTTTACTTACCAGCTTTGTTCTGTGACCTTATAAGTGTCTCTTGAGCTTCCAGCACTTGATTTTCCCCTCAGATACATTTCCCCTATACTGCTTATCTTGTAACATTAACTACTGTGTTACAAATGTATGAGCCAAAGCTAATTTTATAAGAAACTTGAGTGAGAGGAAATCAATCTTTCAAGGTCCCTAAAGTCCTGAGATCATAAAGAAAGGGCTAAAGAAGTAATTTCTGGCTTCTTGCTTTTGATTTCCTTCTTAGTTTGTTTTCTTTTTTTGAAACTCTCTCCCCAGAACTTCCACGGCATATATAGATGCTCATAAACAAAACAATGACAAATACTATGCTGTGAGAAAGGTCACAGCCTGCGCAGCCAACAGACACTGCCAGGCTGGCTTGTTAGTGGAAATTTACAAATGATAATGGGGCTGCCACTTTTGCTTTAAGAGCTACTCCCACTTGGGGACCTGAAACTGTGTAGTCACCAAAACAGCAAAAAGTAGTTAATTCTTTGGTTTATTGAAAGGAGCCTTATTGATCAAATTCATGTAAGGTAATTAGTTAATTTTACACTTTATCACAGTTTGGCAACCACAGACACTTCAGCACTTATAAGTGGCCACATTTAATTATTGTTGAGTTACAAAATTATGGGCTATGCCCATTACTATAAATCTAATCTTAACACAGTGCAAGCTTAAAATTCTAAGAATTGTTTTCAGTTTGTCTCTCTGAGATTGTGTGTGTGTGTATGTGTGTGTGTGTTTGTTATGTAAAACTCAAGTCTAATGACTGTTTTGAAAAGATCTAGGCAAAGGGTCATGACAACAATTCAGCTATTTAGCACAACTCTCTGTAAACAAATCACCAGAGAAAGGCTTAAAGTGAGGTAATAATTCCGGCTCATTGTCAGAGAGTAAACACCAGGCATCTACAGACATGTTTAATTAATTCCTGCACTCTCTTCAAATACTAGCATTTTGTGACTTGAAGGAAATTGCCCACATGGCTGAGCTATGCATCTCTAAAAACTGTGTAATTTAAGTGTGGATTTATGTATGGAACATACAGCAATCTGAGTTATATTTTGAAATTAACATTTATTTCACAGAAAAGGCAAATAAAATGGAGAATAAAAGATGGCAAGGGAGACATCAGACACAAGTAACAACAATGCAAGCCAAGCTGTGCTCTGTTAGAGGTGTAAACAAACTACCCTCTCAGCACCAAGGAGGAGCAATTTAAACCAGATGGGAGGACAAGCTTCACAGAGAAAGGGAAGTGACTCCTAAGTTGTTCTGGGAAGATGAGTACTGTTTTGATTAATAAAGGAGAAGAGGAAGGCATTCTAGTTAGAGGAATATCAGAGACACAGAAAAGTGAAAAGCACTACCTGGGACGGTCCTGGGTGAAAAATGGGAATGGTGGAGTGAACTAGGTTAGGGACTCATTTTAAACAGCCTTGAATGTTGACCTAATAAGTGTGAATCCGTCAAAGAAAGGTAATTTTTTCCATTTTTGTGTCTTCATTTTTTCAAACTGAAAAATATAAATTGATATTATAAACACTTAAATACTAAATACTATTAAGAAGTAGTGAGAAATACTGTGAGAAGTAGAAAGTTAGTCTTACATAATTCCACAACCCTGGAGATAACTATTGTTAAAATTTTGATAATACCAATTTGCCCTAACAAGTATTGCTAAACTGCCCTCTAAAAAGCTGGTATCTAGTAACGTTCACCAATAGTGGATAAGGCTGCTTGTTTTCCTACATATTTGCCAATACTGTGTATAGAGGAAAATGGTATGATCATATCTGTGTTTTAAGACCATAGTTCTTTTTCTTTTTTCTTTTTTTAAGATTTTATTTATTTATTTGACAGAGAGAGACATAGTGAGAGAGGGAACACAAGCAGGGGGAGTGGGAGAGGGAGAAGCAGGCTTCCCGTGGAGCAGGGAGCCCAATTATCCCAGGACCCTGGGATCATGACCTGAGCTAAAGGCAGACGCTTAATGACTGAGCCACCCAGTTGCCCCTAAGACCATAGTTCTGGTAGCAATATAAAGAAGGGACTGAGAGCTGAAAGCTACTGAATTCAGAGTATAGTCAGAAAATCATTAAAATATTGTTACAGGATTTTTTCCTCTGTCGGTGGTGCCCGTGGTTCTTGATCACACCGCTTCAAAGAATGAAGAGGTAGACCTGACAGAGTGGTGGGCAGCAAAGCAAGGTTTAGTGAGTGATAGTAAAGTTTAGAGTACAAAGCTCTCCAAGAGGAAGGGACCCAAGAAGGTTGCCACCAGAGTTTCTAAGTCTAGGGGGTTTTATGGGCTTGTTAGTGGGCTGTTTTCATCTGATTAACCCTCCCTGCGCCTGTCATCCAATCAGGTTTTTGACACCTATCTATCACGTGGGAAAGGGTGGGGGGCTCCCTTCAGGGTGGTGTAAAATCCTTTTAAGGGTGGTTTTCTCTTAGTGTGGGGGACCCTTGACCCTGCCTGCCTTCCAACTATCCTTCATCAATATTTCAGTCAAAAAAATGTTGAATGGCTTATCTAGGGTAGAGCCATGGGGATCGAAGATGGGAGTGGAAATGGAGCATTACAGAAGTGGAACTGAGATAACTTTCTTTTCCTTTAAACAGCAAGACGAAAGAGAAGGAGGTGTTAAAGAAAACCGGAGTTTTAGCTTCGGTGCTTGAGTGGATTTTCATACAGTTAATGGGAATAGGGAACCCATAATGAGGAATAATTTTTTTTGCGAAGAGTTGCAAATGAGCCTATTTATACATTAAGTGGGATTTACCTCTTCCTATTCTACTATTTGTGACCTTTTCCTATTGCTTTAATGATAATGTTGCATCAGTTTTCCCTATTTTACATCTTTTTAAATTTTTTTAATTTTTAAAAATTTTTTTTAAGATTTTATTTATTTATTTGAGAGAGAGAGAATGAGAGAGAGAGAACACATGAGAGGGGATAGGGTCAGAGGACGAAGCAGACTCCCTGCTGAGCAGGGAGCCCCATGTGGGACTCGATCCCGGGACTCCAGGATCATGACCTGAGCCGAAGGCAGTCGCTTAACCGACTGAGCCACCCAGGCGCCCTACATCTTTTTTTAAAAAGTAATCTCTACCCCCACCCAACATGGGGCTCGAACACATGATCCTGAGGTCAAGAGCTGCATGCTCTACCGACTGAGCCATCCAGGCACCCCAACTCTTTTACCATCTTTTTTTTTTTTTAACATCTTTGATTTTTCACTTTTCCACTGGAGTCCTCCCCCTAAAAGCATGTTCAACTTGTGCCTTTCTTCAACTACAGCATTATTCTAGTTTCTCCTTTATTACTCCCATTGCCTCTACTTTTTTTTAACCACCACTTACCAATGCATTAATTAATTCATTTATTTAACTAATATTTATGGAGAGCTTTCAATATACCAGGCATGGTCTACATGATGGGGAACAAAGTAAATAAAAAG